GATGCCAGCACTGCGAGCTCTGCTTTAGCTGATACCGCACCAGCGCCAACTCCTGCCAATCCACTGCCGAGCAGACCGAAATCTGAATGAGACGCTCTCCTCATCAGCGTGCTCTGTACAATGACCCACTTGGCTCAGTCTAGTAGACTCAGACTGGAGTCGATCTACCAAGGCGATGAATCTATCCTTCTCCGCTTTACTCAGGTGCTCGAGATCAGCGTCGTCCATCATCAACATGGCTCGGTCCTCTGCCGTAAATTGGTCTGCAATAACTATGTCTACTCAATGCCTATCCGAAGAAGTCTCACCTGCTATCTTTTCTTGTGTCAAAAGCTCCTTCCTTCCACTAGAGGCGATGAAAGATTTTCCGTCCTCTAACTGAGCCGTTCCGGAATGCAAGATGCGATCTATTTTCGACCTGCCAAGTCGGCGTCACGCGTATCAGTTACAGGAAAAATCAGACGAGCCTCGGCGACAAACTTTCTAATACAAGTAATAGGGAAATTTTTGTCACAAAGATGAGTTAAAAATTCTGCTGTGCTTCATCCAAGCTCAGCGATTCTTCTATATATAAAAAGAAGGCAACTCATGATCAGCAAGAACGGTTCTCATAAAGTTAACAAATCTCCATAACAACAAACAATGAACACTGGTATATAGCCGCTATACTATACTTCTATGCATATCTATTCACCCTTCTATGTTCGCTCTACCCTATGCGTCTATGTAAATTCCTTTTCTCCCTACTCACTTTATCATCGCCGCCTCATTGGTCGCGTCCCGCCCTATATCCTCAGCCGCCTTCGCAACCAACGTTTCCCCTTTGCCCATCTCACCACTAGCTTGCACATGCTCCTGATCTACTGCTATCTGGTGATCAGCCACAACATTGCTCAGCAACTGAGCCTGACAACAGAAATCTCAAGTCGGACCCTTCCAAGTCCAAAGCCTCACCGATCTGTGTGCGTCAGCGCCCCGCTCTTCCGCCCCATTACTGACGATTGTCTCCAAATGATTAACGTTAGTGAACAACTGGAAATGCACAAAGAATCGAACCTCGTAAAGGATCTTCCACTCCGACGCTCACCTGTCGCTGTATATCACTCTCGACTGCCCTCATCGTTTTCTCTTGCGTAGTAGCGTCGGCCTCAATCACCGCGTTCATTTCCGCAACATTCCTCTTACTCGATTCGGCATCATCATGATAGTTGTTTCTGACAGATTTCACAGTTTTGGAATATACGCTCGCAAAATCCTCATTAATTTCCAAAGTTCACGAACAAATTCGAACATAAAAATCACAGAAATCAATGACAACTCCCCTGAGTTTCTCCACAATTGGCACCAACATGCGCATATCTTCCCACACCGCTGCTCTCAGCTCAGCGTTACACTACATAAGCGTGTCCATGCTCTTCTCCTGTGACTTCCTCTCCTTCCTCAAGGCATCCATCGAACGAGTTACCGTCGCCGTAGACAACCCCCGAGCCAACTCGTCATGTGCATCATCCAAACCCTGAAATACATCACTATGCTCTACTCCTTCACTGAGGCCTTCAATTCAGCTATAAAACGATAAGCGATTGGAAAACAAATGCATTTTACCCATCCGGCGAGCTCCTAAAGGCAGCTCCGAACACCTCTGCTCTATCACTACTATTACAATACCCAATCCACGACCATGAATTTTGTGCGTTACTAAGCCTCTCATCTTGAAATCTGGTATCATAACGACATCATAATCATAGCGGTCTAGTTATGGCTTCACGGATAACAG